CTCCTTATTGATCGAGCCCTCGCATCAGCAAACACACTCACACACTCAACAAGGACTCAACATCATCTGTAGAAGTGTACAGAGCAACGACATTGTTCATAATACACCACATCAAGCTGTAAAGTCTGCTGTGAGGAGGAAGAAGACACACTTGAGCTCAGAAGATCATCTTAAAGTCATGTATAAAACACAACAGGAAATGAGCTGATTTCATCATTTATATTGTGATTCTGTTGTGGACTAAAACAAAATGAGCTCAGACAAACACAAAGCCGCTCTCTTCATGTGTTCATCACCTGACCCACAGTCACATTCACACTGATGGAGCATTAGGGGACTTTTATTCTGTCAGGAGAGAAACACCTGATCAATATTCATGACTGCTGACTCTCCTTCACATTCAGCCTTTACCAGATATTGTTTTAGATGAGCGAGTAATCAGGATTATTTCAGACACTTTATCATGAGACTTTTATTTGTTTTCAAGAAACTGAAACTGCACAAATATGAGAGCAGCTCAAACCTTCAGCACGACACAAAACAGCTTGACTTTAGCGTTTAACTCTGCTGCTTTCACACCTCCAGATCCACTGTTCTGCTCTGAAACAGGATTAACACTGGTATAATGTTTATTTGTGTTCTTGCTGCGCTTCACTTTCATACGGAAATGTTGAATGTTAAAACCTACAGACAGACACAAAATATTAATTAGAGGTGTGTGTGTGTGTGTGTGCTTTAGCAAAATAAAGATAATAAACAGTGCAGGCATTCTCTCTTTTCTCTCTTCATGAACTTGTAAGCTGAGAAAATATTATATACTATTCCTTCTATGCTAATGAAGGACTACTGAGACATTCCAAGCATGGGATGGGTCTTCCTGGTGAGGCAGAGTTCCTCACAGCTTCAATACACATCTCTGCCATTTGCTTAAGCCTAGTTCACACTACAGGATTTTAAACATCAGCAGATCGCTGTGCTGTTCACACAACATGACTTGACTTTGTGTCTTTTAATCTCTGTGGTGTTCACACTACGCAACACTCCGTGAACGATCCACAAGAGGGGGGTCACACACTACATGATCTGACAACATCTCATTCCCCATCAGCTCATTCAAGCTACCAAACCACAGCCAATGAAATTTTGAGGGAGGAGTCGTCAGAAAAAGCTGAACACTATTGGCTGCTTGTGTGCTGATAACATCACTGACAGCTTTTCAAGCTTTGGAGAAAGCATTTAAAAACACAGTCAAATCAGCTGATTTATCAGCGGATTAATCACTCATCTGCAAGGTTTGAGTGGATAGATACACAGAGAGTTTTTAATTTTTGTAATTTTATAACTCTTTGAAATAAAACTAACATATCTATAACACCCTGCCGTTTTGTAACTATCAGTGTATTTCTTTCTGACATTGTTGTTTTTTTTATTACAAAACAATAAAGAACTGAGCATTTCTGCCTTAAATTACCATATTGGTCAAAATGTCTGCATGCATGTCTGATACTTTTCGCTGTGACTTTAAATATGTGTGCATTTTCTTGCCTAGCAACTTCCTGCTAACATAAACAAAACTTTCTGATGGCAAAAACATCAATTTACTTCAGATATCTTTCAAAACAGCATATTCTGTGCTGTTAAAAAGCTCCTGTTTGAAAGTGAAAATGAAAGCCAAGCCTTTAAGTGTTTTAGTATCTTAACTACATATTTATAGGCTGTATTACCAAAAAAATATTATATTTTTAAGGTAATGGTGTCATTAAATATGATGCCAGACATTCAAAGCTTAATTTTAATATCTCAATAATAGCTTTGATTGTAAATATGTTGTGACAATATGGTGTTTCATATGAAAACGATCAGAATGAGCAGTATGGTAATTCTAATAGTTACAGAATTCTAGTTCCACTGTTAATATATCCTACTCTCATGTCTGTGCTAATGCAGAATAAAGTGAGTGCATCGATTCCCATTCTGACCAATCACAGATGTTTCTGCTGAGCTCCTGAACACACAGGCACGCGGCTCATGCTGATATGCTCTCTCATTGGCTGTAGCTCGTCACTACATCTGACCACACGTGGGGTTGAGTCGGCCGACTGCTCTGGAATGTTTAGCCTGCTAAATGTTGGATTTCCGTCTGAGAGGTGTCGGCGACGCGTCAGCGAGCCTCGTTGATGCGTTGCTCAGTAGTTCACACATAAAGAGCGGCGAGCGCCGAGCACCCGCAGATTTCTTCCCGATCACAGCCCGATCTGTCGGCGAGCTCGTTAACTTCCAAATCGGGCTCAAATCAGGCTTAAAATCCTCTAGTGTGAACTAGGCATTACAGTAACCTTGTGCTCTTCACCATACACAATTCATCTGCTTGTGTTCTTCCATCGGATAACTTTGTCATGTTTGGTGTCATTTGACAGTTTATGACTTCAGTGTTGCAGTGATGAAATCAACAGACACATTGATTAATTGTATTTCAATCTACAATATATTTACTATTGTTGAGTCATGGCCTGAGGAGAGTATGTTAATGTACTTCTCCCCCACTTTATCTCTTTAACTTTGCTCTCACGTTCAGCTGGTCTTAGGGGTTGGTTTTCACTCATGTTTGACAATGCTTTGCTCAGGGTATAATAGGGAAAGGTAACTGTTGATCTAGGAGAATGGCTTTTACTCTGCATTTCCCACACACCGGTGCGTAGCCTCATTTGCAAACAAAGGCTGTTCACTGTTGCTCAGCAGTGCATATGTTACAGCTAATTTCTTTATACAGTATGCTAGTTAGTTTCATTCTACTGTCTGTATATTTATACATGTAACTTAATAAACAACTTTGCCTGCTTTAAGCTTTGAGATTCCTTCTCTCCATCAACGATGATAACAGCTATAATGGAGTCAGATTAATTACAATGGAGTCAGATAAATAATGGATTTAAACACGCCATCCTTCAACTGCTTTCTGTTTCCAATTATTGGTTCAGAATAGCAGCATAAGCTTCAAGCCTTACAAACTGATTTTTGAAATGTGTCAGTCAAATGCAAAACAAAACAGATAGATGTGAGACACATATCTACAGAAAGCTTGAAGTGTCTACTTGTAAATGCAGTGAGTGCATGTTGAAAACAGATTTTGCTTAAAAAAGTAATCAGTTTGAAACCAACACTGTGTCTGCATTCTCAGTCTGAGCTCATTATTTATAATGCGGCCACGCACACAAGGCTTTGATATTTCAGTCCTCCACATGAGGCACAGGCTCCATGTACAGTGTGGTCAGAAAAAAACAGCAGAATCTGCACCACTACATGAGAGATACACATGAGAGACATGCCTGCATAAAGCTTTGAAGGTGAACTGTCCAACTCATTTTGAAAACAAATGTTGTCTTGCTAGATAAAACACAGAATTCTCCCGGCAGAGCACGCATCATGCCAGCTCTTCCCATTTCTGTCATTTATTACAAACAATGCCTGAACTCATGCACACCCACTAACAAACACAGCACACTGGCTGGAAAGGTCGTTTCATTTTCACTCAGGAATAAATAGAAATTATGACCCATTTACCCTCACGGGACCACCGTGATCTGATGCTGCTTCATTTTATATGTGTTATTTATTTGACTTTTTAGTTATTTTACTGTAGTTGAACCTGTTAACGTTTTCAAAAAGGTAACTGAGACTGCAACTATTAGTGAAATCTATATTAAAGGTCTTCAAATATGATTATGATTTACAGTAATTGTTTTTCATGTTTAAATCTGATTTATTCTTGTGTTTAAAGCGTTTGTCATTCCTCTACTTCAGTGTCTCAGACTCATTCAGAAATGATTATTAAATGTTGGATTAATGCACAAAAGAGTTTGGCGAACAAGTTTTACACCATTTCAAATATATATTATATGTGCGGCTGTATAAGTCACATACAGCCCTCAGCATAATGGAGGACAGCCCATTCTGAAAATCAAGACTGTCCTCCATTTCTCAGTCAATATAGGCAGTGTATTCTGCTGCATTTAAACAGAACACATTTATTAAACAGATTTATTTATGAACGTCATATTTTAGTCACCAAACATATTCAGAAATTGAAAGATAATACAATTAAGTACAAGCTAAATATTGCAGAAAAAAAAAATACAACCTACAAAATGTCAACTGAATTTTCCATTGTTTTGCTTCTCTTGATTTTTCCTCTTTTTTTATTTTGTATTTAATATTTTTCTACAACACATAAATTTGGGTACAGCAGTTTTTGGACCATTATCATAAGTTATTTTGTTAGATGAGCTCCAGATTTGACTAATCTATTGTATTTCCACAAATATAATACTGTAGAGCTTCCTATTAAAATATGAATGTAAAAGAGAGATTAGTGAGGGGTGTACTTATATATGCTGAGCACTCTATATTGTTCACCCAGAGTGTTTACATGGTCACACAGCAGTAACACAACAAGCATTTAGTTTGGGTTAGCTTCTACAGATGGACATTGCTGTACACTGCCCTTGATGGGTGAGTGGGGGAGTGTCTGTTGTCTCTCAGGTGTGAATTATTCATGAGCATTGTTACTCACACATACAGCTGAGATCACCCAAAACAAACTTAACAAAATGTAGATCATTGTAGTGTTTTCTTTGAATGAGAGAACAGAATAATTTCAAATTATTGTGCAGTAAATATTCTAGTCTACAAGACTGCTTACTCTAAAGTCTTCTTCAGCGAAAATGAGTGTGTTTTTTGGACCTTACTTCAGCAGTTTTTTTTTCTCCAAAACATAGAAACATACGAAGCATGCATAATATTTATTTCTAAAAAACACAAGCATGAACATCAATATTTCTCACATATTATTGTAGCTCAGTTTGTGCTGAATACTAATAAAACACATGTTGGCCAGTTCTGTGCAATAAGTAGCTGAAATAAGCACAAATGTCAGGGCATGTCAAAACATCTCAGGAGCCCCGAAATCACCTCAGATTAGTATGATCTGGTATAGTAGGTATAGTATGAGCTGTGTGAAACACAATTACTGATAAACCATAATTCCTGTTATCTGGGGTTTAGTATCACCCAGGGTTAACATGTTCAAGCATGAAGAGCTCTAATATGAAACTGTTTGACTGTAGTTATTGTAGAGTGGAGAATCATTTACCTCAGTGTCTCCAGTTTACAGTGTTGACTCTTCAGTCCATCAGAGAGAAGCTTCACTCCTGAATCCTGCAGGTCATTGTTACTCAGGTCCAGCTCTCTCAGCACACAGTTTAAGGATTGTAGAGTTGAAGACAATCTCTCACAGCACTGAACAGTGAGATTACACATGGCCAATCTGAGAAAGAACACACATTACTAAAAACCACACTGTTAATGTGATCTGCCTGATGTAACAAAACAAAAAATCAATCAACCAATCAATCAATCAGTCAGTCAGTCAGTCAGTCAGTCAGTCAGTCAGTCAGTCAGTCAGTCAATCAATCAATCAATCAGGAGTTTAAACTCAGACCTCAGTGTGTCCAGTTTACAGTGTTGACTCTTCAGTCCATCAGAGAGCTTCTTCACTCCTAAATCCTGCAGGTCATTGTTACTCAGGTCCAGCTCTCGCAGGACACCGTTTGAGGATTGTAGAGCTGAAGACAAACTCTCACAAGAATCTGCAGTGAGTTTACACGTCATCAATCTGAGAAAGAGCACACATTACTAAAAACACACTGTTAATGTGATCTATCTGATGTAACAAAACAAAAAAATCAATCAATCGATCAATCAATCAATCAATCAATCAATCAATCAATCAATTAATCAGATGCTTAAACTCAGACCTCAGTGTGTCCAGTTTACAGTTTGGACTCTTCAGTCCATTAGAGAGCTTCTTCACTCCTGAATCCTGCAGGTCATTGTTACTCAGGTCCAGCTCTCTCAGCACACAGTTTGAGGATTGTAGAACTGAAGACAAACTCTCACAGGACCGAACAGTAAGATAACAGTCCTGTAGCCTGTGTAGAGGACAAACACTATGTATGTGTTGATATGGAATGTTTAATAGTCTGAAGCACATCTGACTGTAGTGACTGGTTTAACTTCACTAATTAGTGAGCACATCTGCTGATTTTACCTTTAAATAGTATTAAGGTCTATAAAACACAATTAAATGGCATCCTTCAGATGTTCCAATAACCCAACTCTTTATTAAACACCTAACACTGCAAGACAGGATTTTTTAAAATCGTTTTATTTATTGTTATTTTAATGAACAAACTAATGACAATAATTTTCTGTAGCGTATTTAAAAGTTGCATCTCAAATCACTTTTTAAAATAAAGTAAAACGGATGCATATGTGACAGAAATGTAGAAGATATAAAAATATATTCCTTGTTGTTTGCTGTTTGTGTGTTTTTGTTTCTAAAGATTCCTCCATGTCAGTGATCAGGACTGCCTGCCCTGTAATCTTGCCTGCAGCTAGAGATCTGCGCGGGACAAAATTTTGAATCCCGCTCCCGCCCGCACCCGCCAGGTTTTAGCCGGAACCCGACCGCTCCCGCTTATATTAAGCACTTGATGTCCCGCTGCCCGCCCCGCCCCGTTTTCTATCCGCCGCGCCCGATCCCGCTAAAGAGCGGGGGGAGAACAAAACCGAAAATCACCCAGTTATACAGTCCAGACAGCCTATAACAAGCTGTCTGTATAAACACACACACACACAGCACCAAACACACACACACACACAGACAAAGCTTTCTCTCTCATTCGCGCGCACGCACGCACGCACGCACGCACGCACACACACACACACACACACATATCTCTCATTCGCGCGTGCGCATACATACACACACACAATGCAACATTTATATATTTATATATATAATTACAATTTATACCCGCGCCATAGAAATCTGGTCGGGTCCCGCGGCGCCCGCGGGACAGCCGCGGGAATGCAGACCTCTACCTGCAGCTCCTCAGCCTTATCCAGCCATGTACACCATTTCAGTTGTTTTTAGCACAGCAGTTTCAATCTTCTCTAGTAAATCAGACACAGTTTCTATTGCTAACAGTATGGTGTAGCGAGGACATAAACAAGGATGTAACCAACAGGAAATGCTGTTTGGCACCGCTAACAATTGAGCTAAAAATTCATATTTATCCATCAAACTGCTTTAAACACACACAATATTGAGCAGCGCTGCAGTGTGTCTCTATGCGGACACTTTCCCTGTGCTCTACATCTCAGATAATGAACTCACAAAAGATATGAGAATGTTTCATATGACTTACACATGCCTATTCTGAATATATGTGACAGACTTTTGTCAGATGTATTTTAGAGAGCAGGCGTGAGCTTCAGCTGTGTCCTCTGTGTCATTTTCTGTCTGATTCAGGCTCACACTGATACGGCTAACAGCTACTCTGACCAATAGGATTTACACAGCTCAAAAGTGCGTGCTTGTAGAGCCGTGACACTTTTCCTGGTGACATGAAGCCGATCTGCAAATCACAGCACAATACATTAGCTGACCAATCAAAGCCTCTTGAGGACAGGTCTTTCAGAGGAACAAGGAAATATGACATTTGTCTTCATGTTAGCTGGGTAGCTGTATATAGTCAAAGTCAGATATATGAACAAATAAGCGGATTTTCTACAAGTGAAGCATGAGGACACATCGCATTACATTCTATCAACACAACCAAGCCTTAAAAATACACTTTAGACCACCCTTTAAGGACATCCAGGCAGTCTCGAGGTGTTTGAAACCTCCAGAAAGGTGGGCTCGCATCATCATGGAGGGTTTCACCAGCTCCAGTATAGCTCTGTGCTCCAGCTATTTATCCTGATCAACTCAACTCAATTTATTTCAAGAGCACTTTCAACCACCCACAATGACTACCAAAGTGCTGTACATAAAACAAAGAATACAAGCAAACATACAAGGAACCAAAGTACATCAACTCACAACACTTGAGTAAAAGCTGAAGAAAATAAGTGACCTCTGAAAACACTCAATAGTTGGAGAAGTTCTTAAGGAGAGTGGAAGATCGGCCCAGAGTCTTGGAGCGGCTACTGAAAAAGCTCTATCACCTCCACACATATCAAGCGTGATCGTGGAACTTGCAAATAGAGTCGACCCTTAGTGTGAAGAGATCTCACAGGTTGGTGTATATTAATTAGCTCAGAAATATACTCAGGGGCCATGGAGGGATTTATAAACATACAGCAGTACTGTGTACTGAATTCTAAACTGGACTGACAGCCAGTGTAGAGAAACCAGTACAGGTGTAATGTGCCTTTTCTGTGCCTGTTAAAAGCCTGGCAGCTGAGTTCTCCAATCTCTCATATCAGCCAAACAATTTAACAAAGCCTGAAGGGAGGACTGATTTGAGAGTCAACAGCATATTGATGGTAATTTATGCCATGTTTTTCAAAAAATTCCCAACAGAAATAAGGAAAGGGAAAAAAAAACTGGACCCAGTATCGAGCCCTGCAGAACCCCACACATTAATTGAATGACAGAAGAACAAGAGTTGCCCAAACTGACTGATGTAGTTCTATACTTCAGATATGAAGAGAACCAGTCCAAGGCTAGACCCTGGATATCAGTGTGTTTTCTAAGCTGATCAATGAGGATGTTATGATCCACTGTAACAAAAGCAGCAGTGAGATCCAATAATAGAAGAAGAATAGGGCTACCTGAACCAAGCTCCAACAAGACATCATTTAAAACCCACAATAGAGCAGACTCTGTGCTATGACCAGCTCTAAACTGACTGAAATTTATCAAAAACATTATTATTAAACATGAAATCATTCAGCTGTACAGACACAATCTTCTCTAAAACCTTTGTGATAAAAGGCCTGATTCACAGGATCTGCCCTGGTTTACTGTCCAGTAGTCCCTGCCTTGGCTTTGTCCTTCTTCCTGTCCGTCTGCCTGTCAGTTTCCCCCTCACCATTTGTCCTGTACTCTGTCATGGTTTCATTAACCTGCCTCTCCCCCATCACCCTTGTCCACTGAAACCCCTCCAGCTGCTGAACTCACTCTTGTTTTGTGTTTTCCTGTGAGGATCATCTGGAATCTTCTCCTAGAAGGGAGCTGTGTCACGGTCGTGGTTGTCCTGTCCTTGTACTTTTGTGTTGTGTTGTCCTTGTGTTCTCTGTGTTTACCCCAGTTTTCCCCATGTTAACCTTGTTACTTGCACAGTTACTCTCTACCCCCTTGTTAACTAGTCTCTGTTTCAGTCACTATGTGTTGATCATAGTTTGCTGTATGTGTGTGTGTTTCTCTTGCTTGTGTTTTCTGCTCTTCAGCTCTGCCAATATTTTTGTGTATGGATTTTATTTAACATTAGAACTGAACTTAGATCCAACTCTTGCATCTGCTTTGCCTGCCTGCACAATTAGAAGAAGGTATTATAAAAAAGATGGTTGCATGGCGGTTCATTGGTAAGCACTTTCGCCTAACAACAAGAAGGTCGCTGGTTTGAGTCCCAGCTCCTGTTTCCCCCACATTGTGAAGACATTTGGTATAGGTGAATTGGGTGAACAAATCTGACCATAGTGTATGAGTGTGTATGTGTCTGAGTGTGTGTCTGTGTCATTGTTACCTTATAATTATCAGCATAGATATGAGTCAAAATAGACAGAATGGAGAAAACATCAGTGTGATCATTTCACTCCAGTCCAGAAAGGACTTTAAAGGTGCTATATCATTTTATAGCTGACTTGTGTGCAATTTAGACGATAACAGCCATATCACCCTGCAGCCCAGACCGGTTACTCCATGAAGCTAAGCAAGGCTGAGCCTAGCCAGTCCCTGGCTGGGAGACCACATGGGAAAACTAGGTTGCTGTTGGAAGCGATGTCAGTGAGGCCAGCAGGGGGCGCACATCCTGTGGTCTGCGTGAGTCGTCATGCCCCAGTAAAAGTGAAGGGGACACTACACTGTCGGTGGGTGCCGTCTTTCGGATGACACATTAAACTCTGTGTGGTCTTTTTATAAATCCCATGACACTTCTCATAAAGAGCAGGGGTGTAACCCCGGTGACCAGGCCAAAGTCCCTCAATTGGCCCTTACGATCATGGCCTCCCAATCATCGACATGTCTTTTTATGACAGCTAAAAACCATTAGCTATTGACCTACATGGTAGGAAAAACAACTGGTGTGTAAGTCAATGATTACAGGTTTCAGCTTTCTTCAAATTATCTTCTATTATGTTCAACAGGAGAAAATAAAGTTTTAAAAAGGTTTATATCCATGAAGAGCGAGTAAGAATTTGTAAATTCACTTTTTGGTTAAACTATCCCTTAAACAACCACTGCCAAAACATGAATCTGAATGTTATTTAAAAAACACTAAAACATTACATAATGAACAATTATTAATGTATTTTGCAGTTTAGTTGATATCAATATTGTTCATGTTCATTAACATGATGTCATGTAATTTCTTATTTTCATCCGCTTATCCATGGCCGGGTCGCAGGGGCAGCAGTCTTAGGAGAGAACCTAAGACTTTCCTCGCCCCAAACACTTACACCAGCTCCTCCGGGTGGATCCTGAGGCATTCCCAGGACAGCCGAGAGACATAGTCACTCCAGCGTTTCCGGAGTCTTCGCCGAGGCTTTCTCCTGGTGGGACAGATGCCCGAGCCAACTCAGCTGACTTCTGCTCTTCAGTGTTTGAACTCTCAGCAGTGAAAAGTAAACCACACTGAACTGAACTAAACTGAACTTCAACACAAAACTGAACTGTTTCAATTTACTATGATCTTCTATGTGAAGCTACTTTAACGCAATCTACATTATTAAAGTGCTATAGAAATAAAGATGAATTGAATTGTCGATGTGGGGGTGCAGTGGCTCTACTCTGAGCTCCTCCCATATGGCAGAGCTCCAGACCCTGTTTATAAGGGTGCGCTCTGCAACCCTGCAAAGCAAACTCATTTTGGCTGCTTGTATCCAAAATATTGTCCTTTCGATCATGACCTAAAGCTCATGACCATTAACATAATATACTGTATTATTTAAATTCAGGAAATGTCTACTTCTTAGATGAAAAAAAAGAAGGACGTTGACTTACAGAGCTCTTTTGGAGGATTTGATGACTGCTGATAGTCTGATGAGACACTCGTCTGATCTCTGGAATTTCTGAAGCTCAAACTCCTCCAGCTCCTCCTCTGAGGTCAACAACACAAAGACCAGAGCAGACCACTGGGCAGGTGAAAGGCGAGCAGATGACAGACTTCCACTACTGAGGTGAGACTGAATCTGTTTTAGCAGAGTTTGGTCATTCAGTTCATTCAGACAGTAGAACAGATTGATGGATCTCTCTGGAGACAGATTCCCTTCAAGTTTCTGCTTGATGTAGGCAATTATTTCCTCTTTGCTCTGGTCTCTGTCATCCTGCTGTGTCAACAGGCCTCGTAAGAGTTGTCGATTAGACTGAAGTGACAGACCGAGAAGGAAGCGAAGGTAAAGGTCCAGATGTCCATTCTCACTTTCCAGAGCCTTGTCTACTGCAGTCTTCAGGAAATAAATCATGAACTCATCTCTGCTTTTTTCTGCTTGTGTCTTGTCATTGTCGAGAAACAGATGTTGATAAAGGGCTGCAATGAACTCTTGAATGCTCAAGTGAAGAAAGCAGTACATGGTATGAAGAACAAATCCTGTCTCTTTCTTAAAGATCTGGGTACACATGCCGGAGTACACCGATGCCTTATCGACATCAATGCCACAGTCTTTCAGATCGCTCTCATAGAAGATCACATTGTTTCTTTCCAGCTGCTGGAAGGCCAGTTTCCCCAGTGAAAGGATGAGCTTTGGATCCCAGGAGACATCTGGTGTGTTTTCTCCATCATACTTTCTTCTGCTCTGCTGGATCTGAAAGCGGAGAAAGTGTGTGTACATCTGTGTCAGAGTCTTGGGAGATTCCTGCAGTGTTTCAGCATGAGCCCTGTGTTTCAGTTTCAGTATGTTCTGAAGAACAGTGGCTGAAATCCAGCAGAAGACTGGGATGTGGCACATAATAAAGAGACTCTTTGACTGTTTAATGTGATCAATGATTTCTCTGGCCTGATTCTGATCTGTGAGTCTCTTTCTGAAGTACTCCTCCTTTTGGGCATCATTGAATCCTAGTATATCTGTCAGCCGGTCGATACAGTCAGCAGGAATCTTACTGGCAGCTGCTGGTCTGCTGGTGATCCAGATGAGAGCAGAAGGAAGCAGATTTCCCTTGATGAGGTTCGTCAGGAGAACATCCAGAGAGACTGCTGAAGATACATCACGACACGTCTCATTACCAGCAAAGTTCAGAGGAAGACGACATTCATCCAATCCATCAAGGATGAACAGGACTTTGAATCGTGTGCTTCTTGTAAGGTTCAGTCCTTTAGTCTCTGGGAAAAGCTGAGTTATGAGGTCTTTTAAACTTTGTCTTTCTTTCTCCTTTAAGTTCATCTCTCTGAATGGAAGAGGAAATATGAAGCTGATGTCTTGATTTTCTTTCCCTTCAGCCCAATCCAGAACAAACTTTTGCACAGAGACTGATTTCCCGATGCCAGCAACTCCTTTTGTCAGGACAGTTCTGATCTGCTCGTCTTGTTCAGCTGCTTCAAACAAATGTTTGCATTCAACCTGTATCTCTAGTGACTGATGACGTCTGGAAGCAGCTTCAATCTGTCTGATCTCATGTTCAGTGTTGACCTGTTCACTCGCACCCTGAGTGATATAGAGATCTGTGTAGATCTTATTCAGAAGTGTGGAGTCTCCTTGCTGAGCAATTCCTTCAAACACACTTTGATATTTCTTCTTCAGGCTACATTTAAGCTGATAAATGAAGAGCAGCTCATCTAAACACAGGAGCAAAGAAACAGAGAGATTTAGTCTTGACTTATTTGTAAGTGACAGTCTGACAGATCTCCATGAGTAGGGCCAGACAGAACTTTCAGACATTTTTTGCTATTTCTGAGGAGAATTGTGTAGTATCATAACTAAAAACTTAATATATGAAAAAAACTTTTTAACTTGAAAAATAATAATATTTCATGTTTACAATACAAATCCAATTAGATCCACTTAATTGGTAAACAAAGCACAAGACTCTTCTATAGCAGATCTACTAAAGGACAGAAAATATGACTTTACAAACTGCACTGCAAATAAATCATGAACATTTTCATATTAGTCAATAATATTACTGAAATTAATAAACTGAATGAATATAAATAACCACATTTACACAGGTAAATAAATAGACTCAATGACAGGTTATCAATCTGTGAAAATCTGCAGGTTTCGTGTGGGTCTATCCATGAGTCTCTTACCCTGGAGAGTATCAGCAGCTTGATCTTGCTTCATCTCTCTCAGGAAGAAGAGTGTGAGATCAAGAGCTGCTTCTGTGATACTGCTTCTGTTCTCATTAAAGTCCTTTACAAACTCTTGTCTGTTTTCATCTTGTAAGATTTTCTTAAATTTCTCCAGTTCATTCTTCAGAAATCTGAACATTTTACTCTCAAGATTCTATGAGTGAAGAAAAGAGAAGAACAATATTTAAACAAAACATTCATTCACACACAGCTATACATCCACAACCTACTCAATAATGAAAGTTTATTAAAATACAGTATACTATGAGTCTGTTAAATGCTTGATTCTGATTAGCTGATGAACATTTAAAGTTTATTTCAGGTAAACACACAGTTAAAGTACATCCAAGCAGGTTGAGCACATTACATTTAAGGGGGTCAAACACCGGATGCGCCACTCAGTGCCGCAACGCAGCTGGAAGTATTGCACAGCAGACACACACATTCACATGTTATTAAAAATGAAATTTCACAGCTACAAAGGACAAAAATCACACTAAAACCAAACACAGTCTTTGGATGAGATGTTTAAGAGACTAGTCCTACACACAGGAGAAGTTTGAGAACAAATACCTGACAAATGTCTGAAATGCAATATTTGAACGGCTGTGGGAAACAGATAAACCTAATAAACATCTAAACCAGGGCCATTCAATTGGCGGCCCGTGGACTGAACCTGGCCCCAAAGACAATTTGTTCCGGCCCTCCAAATAGTGTGACCAAGACATCAAAAATACATTTAGTTCAGTCTAAAAACAGCTGCTATAGTTATGAAGTGACGTGCGTCTGTTCAATACAGCACGAGCTGCAGATGAAGGCTGTGCAGAGCGTGAGTCACCTGACATTAAGCGAGTGGTGCGAGCAGCTGAAAACATTTGCATATGCAAAGGATATGAAAAGGCCTTTTGCACAATGCACTGATAGTGTTAACAGGGACGCAATGATTAGCTGATTTCTCTATTAACCCCACTTTTATTCATTAAAGGCTTCTCAATGCCGCATTTCTGTTGCACGCACATTGGATTAACTATAGCAGCAAGCCGTTGACATATTGCATCGTTTCTGCACGCAAGTACATTATTTCCATTGGAGACAAATTGGCAGTGGTCCACGCATGGCTCACAAGCAGACCGACACACTGGCGCCCTGCAGGTGCACAAAGTAGAAATGATCTCACGCTGTAGCAGTGAGAGTTGTGTGTGGTTAATCTACTGAATTTGCTGTTATAAAATATTAATGTTCCAGAAACAGCATCGTAAATAACAAATAGAGCTGTAAATGTGATATATTACATATATACATCATGTACCATTGGATTTTTATTTGAAAACACCTAATAAGCATTAAAATAAATGTAAATTCCTCTTTGCCAGATATAATGAAGGCATCAAAATAACCAAATGAAAACGGAGGCTAAAAAATAAACTTCTCTTCTGGCTCCATCAGACAGTCCTTCTGCACATGCCCAGGCTCCAATTTCAGCATTGTTTTACCACAGTTTGTGCCCGTCACGAGGCGTTTTTCCTTCAAAGCATTTATTGGGAAAATAATGTTGCGATGTTGCGTTGTCCATATTTTATACTGTGATTGGTCTGTACTGTACCGTTCCTTTCAAAGTACCAACCGCAAATGATTTAGCAACTTTATCTCAAAACAACTTCTGGACTAAAGTCTCATGAGCGGGAGGTGTTTCCCTGGTACGGTCAGATCTCTGCTTCTCCTTTGTTTTAAATTTGATCAGTTTTTTATTTGGCAGCAGTTACTCAACTTATATGTCACTGCTTTGCTCACTTAGCAGAACAATCGGGCACACATGAGTGTGAGAGTGATTGTTGTGCCTCCCGATGGTGAATGCAGTTATACCCATGGCAGTTATTATTTGGTAGTTTGGTCATTTGTTTCACTAATATGGCAACCGTCAAACGTCATCAGGAAAACAGTTTGAACTTCTGCTTAGTAAAAAGCTCATTAGTTTCCATTTGGAACAACACTACATACATATATTACACTGTTCAGTGTTTAAGTGCATAAGTACACAGTGTAGCGTGTGCCATTTTGAACGCAGAGATATAGTGTAGTGAATTCCCCTGCAGATGTCTCTGGACCACATTTACAAAATAGGTTTGGGAGGAGTCTGATTTTTTATGGCTTATCAATCCTTATCACGACTATATAAGCAGCAGACATTGCACTGTGTCAGCTGATTTTTTTTTTTAGATTTAGATATGCTAATTTATGCATATGCCACCTAGTGACATTTAGCGACTCTTCGAGCAGAGCTTAAGTAGATTAAAAGTAGTTACCAACCCCACACGTGAAATCTGTCTGATCTGTGTATTTGAAAACCTAATAGTTTAAAACTAGTCCCCATTTACAGAATGTAATCCTGTTTTAACCAGGCCATCTGTGTTTAGACGTCTATTAAATTGATATATGGAGAAATTGACTCTAGTCTGTTGAATTATAAGAGAGTAATGCATATCAGAGATTTCCATAAAAACAGCTGAAATACTCATTTTGATCATGTTGATTGGAGAAACACAGATCTGAACAGTAAAGGTTATTATAATTCGCTTTCTGTGTCGTCTGTCAACATCTCTGGCAAATGTGTCACAGAAAACCTGAAATTACAGAGTGTGTTTCTATTGAGGACTAATTTATCATCTCCTCCCAGCTGTTTCTACTGTGCTGTTTGTAGTCTTCAGTCTGCATTTTAGAAATGTTTTTAAAAAGACCCTTCCTCACGTCTCTTGTGCGTATGGTAATGCTTAAGGGGGCGTAATATTGAAATATTCAAAATGCATGCAAATTTTCTGTTGTCAAAATTATTCCGATATTATTGCTAATAGTCAATGCATCACCCTTCCCTACTCAAGACTAATGTACATGCATTATTATTATTCATGTATAATATTATCTCTCATTATTTACAATAATATTCCCTCAACCGTCACCATTTTAAAGCACAGTTCTGTATGGCTCAAAATAAGTTGCTGCATGAATGAATGAGATGATGAAGAATGATGAAGATCTGCTTATGCTTTAATGTGTCCTTTCTGCAAGTGATTTACTATTACTTTCAAAAGTCAATCCCTGCAGATAATGTGATATGAAGATACGGTATGCATGTCTAGTGCAACATCTTAGAAGAAGCAGAAACATTAGATCATTCCAGAAAGACATAATAATAATAATAATAATAATAGTAATAATAATAATAATAACATGAATAAATAAAAGCAAAATAAAAGTTGGGATAACTAGAAACCAACTTTTTGCCATGTCGAAATCATGAGAAATTAAGTCGTGATCACAAGAAAACAAGAGAGAAAATATGTTTATTGCATGACCTCTTAGGACCCCCATAGGCTATTTAAGACTATTTATGCAAGTTTATTTAGGCAAGGGGCCAAGTTCATGCAGGTTACAAGATTCAGTTCTCAAAAGTCTTGTAAACAAATATTTCTGTGCTTCATGGAGTTATTTCACTGATTTTATCAAAATGAGTTTTTCCTACCTGGAAGATGGACTGGAGATTGTCTGTGAAGCTCTGGTGTCTCCAGAGAGTCTCGTCTCCTGAATCTGCTGACTCATATTCATCACTGTTAACAGATAAAACTACTGTAATAATAGAGGCAAACACATACAGATACATCTTACAAACACTGAAAATAATACATGTTCTGTATACAGATATTCATTCATTTTCCTTCAACTTAGTCCCTTATTTATCAGGGGTCACCACAGCGGAATGAACTGCCAACTATTCCAGCATATGTTTTATGCAGTGGCTGCCCTACCAGCTGCAACCCAGTACTAGGAAACACCCATACACTCACACACACACACACACACACACACACACACACACACACACACACACACACAAAATGGCCATTTTAGTTAATTCATTTCCCCTATAGCGCATGTATTTGGACTAATATGTTCAAAACAGTCCATGTGTGAGCAATAATGTAAAACACTGAATACCTTTCGGCAGATGATGGGGTTTCCCCACTGAAGTTTGGTGGATTCCACTCTTTAGACCGGTCACTCTTCAGAGACACAGAGCTGGACACACATAATCCTGATCTCACACTGAACACACAAACACACCAGAGGAGAAAAAAAAGTGTCAACACCTGCTGCAGTCTCTCTTATTAACAAAAGACGGCACAGTGTTTCATTTCCCATCAGCCCCTGTGCTCCTGATTGTCTCTTTGTAGCAAAATTAGCTCGTAGAGAATTATAAATGATTAATTACTCATAATTTCCTATGAGCTCATTAGATAGTGCTATAACTTTATTTATCACTTGTATTGCCTCTTCCTATAGCAGCTGAATGTGTGTTAGATTAGTTTCAGTGTTCAGTGGAGTTAATGAAGCCTTACTTGTGTCACACTTCAAATTGTTCATTATTTGCTCTTAAACGAAATCTGGCAGAATACTCTAAAATGTAATCCCTGGGTTCTCTCAGGAAGGCAGAGGATTACAGGACTTATTGAACTTGTAGATTTATTGTTAAACACTCACATGGAAGACAGAGGAAATTTTCAATCTCTGAATTAATCTACATTAAAATGGCTCTTCTGCGGAAGGCATTTAGAATATGTGTGCTACCCAAGCGGCAACCTCCCGCTCTCCCTCAGGAAGCCAATACGGAAGTAACTAAAACTGCAATTCATCCGAAATTCCGCTAGTCCTGGCCGCTCCTGGCTCCAAAACAGAGCAAATTTCAATTGAGCCCACTGTTAGAATGGCCAACTGTACAGCAGAAAAAACAGCCTGTTTACAGCCTGGTACAAAAAAAGATTTTGGTTAATACAGCTAATATTACCCTTCATGACAATTGTGAGGGGGGTGAATTTTTTTATAACTCATCCGTTTCCTTTATATTAAGTTATAGTAAGTTTGCATAATTAAGGGCATGGCTCTTGATTGACAGCTAGGTCTCGTTGGTCACCATCCTGTCACCTTAGCTGAATCCTGCAGATTAGCCACACTGTAAAAAATTGCTGTTAAAAAACGGTCAGATTCTACGGCAAAATAATGTTTTTTCACTAAAACAGTAATATTCTGTTAAAAACAGTGCTTTCTGGGTAACATTTTTGTTTTCGAGAAAGTAACCAACTGCAGAAAACTGTGAGCTAACAGAGTTCAGATTCGATGTTTTGAAGTCTGTGTTTGAAATCACGCTTTGTGTCCTTGTTCACTATTTCATTCACTAGTTAACTAATATAGTTCACCTGACAGTTTTAATGAACACTAATGAGTGAATTCAGACACTGATGAACACCTGCTGTTAATAATAACAATTACTGAAGAAAATAAACAAGAAACACAAACAGTGACTTGAGTTACAACATTAAATAAAATAAAATAAAACAGCTTCAGTCTCAGCAGAGGATCATTAAACAACTCCACAAACAACAGCAGACACACTTATTACTGACTGATTTGACTTCCATACTATTCTCATTGAGATCCAACAGAAAATTAAGGTGTTTTTTGTGTCACCGTAATGGAGTGAGGGGCTGGTTTAGTTGGCTCTTCACCCTTGACCACTTTTAAGAAGACTTTCCAACTGCTGTAATGCAGAGTTTACAAAACGTTTGTACTATAGCAATAAAGTTGGGAAGTCAGTAAGTAGAGAGATCTATTTGTCTGAAATTAGTTCTGATAAATGTTTTGTTATAAATCTAGAAGAAGGGCCTCATGCAATAGATTTTATGCTTAGTTGCAGGTATTAATTTAATTAATGAGAAGTGGAAACAGAAAAGATACCTCCATAAATACTTAACAGTTAAGAAATAACATACAAAAACAGTTCAGTTATGACAAATACACACTCAGACCTCATGAATCTGACCTTGTATCTCAACAATGGTAACATCTCAAATGTTTCATGCTGCAATGCATGCTGGGAGTGGCACGGTACAAATATCCCAGCATGCATTACGGTATAAATAAATGTTGTATAATGGAAAACAGTTTTCTTTATTTGTATTTGATTCTGCTGTTGTTTATGTTTAGACTTTCAGTTGCCTGTTTGTGAGTTAAACTGTTAATTTTGTTAGTTGTCACCATTATTGAGGTTCATACGCTGATTATTGATGTCTCTTTGAGTGCGATTTACACCATAGAGCAGTGTTATTGTCCAAGATATTCTTAAAAACTTCCAGAAATCATTGCCATATATATATATATAGACATATAATGTAAAACAATAGATTTAACATTGAACAGGAGCAGTAAATTTTATTATACTAAATGAGAACAGACTCTGCCGTTTAATAGCAACATGAACATCACCAGATCTTATTTAGGTTTTTGGCTGGCTTGCCACAACAAAGGAGCTTTTTAAACAAAGTTCTTCACAATTGCAGCAGCCAAAATATATACATTTTAAAAATGACAGAGCCCAACTAAAGCAAACTCTGTTCTTCATGATGGAGACGTAAAACTTTCACTTTTTCTCAAGAAGAACTTTAGTAAATGTTATACAAAAATACATGTATTAAGTAATAAGTGTAGCTGGTGATGATGTTTGTGGAGTTGTTTAATCATCCGCTGATCATTTAAATGATTTAATCATTTGTTGTTCTTCAGGTTATTTCATTATAAAGCTGTGACTAAAGTTTTGTATTATCTGTTCTTGTTTTTTCCCTTCAGTATTTCTTCATTTGTTCATTGTTAATCCTCAATTATCATTTAACTAGTCATTTAATTAATTAATTCACTTCAGCTTTGCCCCATGTTTCTTGAACACTTAGTAGTGTGGATACTTCAGTTAAAACTGAAGTCTATGCTCTGGGGTTTAAAGGGTTAAAGGTGTGAGAGGTAAAAACACAGTGTAAAAATGTATTTTAACAGTAATATACTGTTAATTTAAACTACGGAAGTAGACTGTAAAAAAACAGTATATTGCTGGCAACCACAGCTGCCAGTAGATTACTGTTAAATCAAGGAAAAAACAGTATTTTACTGTAAAACCTGAAGCTAATTTCTTCTGTCTGTCACCGTTGTGGAGGGGAGTAGAGCCAGTGTATGAGTTAAAGATGAACAACGAACTGCTGATGTTATTCTGCATGTTTCTCTATTTAAAGATAGCAGCTGTTTAGTTGCTGATGCAGTCAGAATCTCTCTGGTGATTCCAGATGTACATGTATGTGTGCTGTTGTGAAAAATAAGACATTAGAGTTAAACCGAACTTTTCTAATTAACTAAAATAAGTTATCGTTATGATTATGCTTCTAAGCATATATAGCACATTACTTCATAAACTCATTCAGCAGTTGACCAAGTTGAGGCAGTTGCTTTCAGTGAGCAAAATGAGTTCACTTGAGTATTGTGTAAATCAATGTAGTCCATGTATTTTTACAGCAGCATACTGTAAAATAACAGTACATTGCTGGCAACTGCAGCTGCCAGTATTTTACTGTTTTTTAACGGGACAATTTTTAACAGTGCACTGAACTCGGCATATTTATCGTATTTTTGTGTTGTTTTATGTGGCTTTACACAGTCAACTGCCTTTTGGACTTGTTTCCTACAATTATTAGATGGCATGGCATGCTGAGTGCACTTAATTGTGCTCACAAACCATTCACGTGGCCTCCGTTTCCCATGTGAGTAAAGTTATATACTTATATACCATCTCTATGCATGTATTTGTTTTATTTAAGATCATTTATTGTTTATATTTATATTTAGAGCTGTAATGCACTCCAGAATCTGACGAATTGATTAGCTGTAGGCTCTAGAACAGTCATCTGAAGCGTTGTCATACAGTGTTATGCTGGATTTCATCAATAGTCTTACATTAACTAACACAGACTATATCTGAAGTGTTTGGGAGTAATTCGCGTTTTCCTCCTGTTGAAAAACGTCATAAGAACAATGTTTAGTGGCTCAGTGTGTTACAGCAGTGTTTTTAAAAGTCTAAACACTTGAATGACATAGTGTACAACCAAGCACAAGTGGTCAGAACACAAATGAGTATTAAGCGTTCTCCCAAAGTAAAGTGTGTCTGAACCAGGTCCAAGCAAATGCCAGCAGGTGTCTGAATCTCCGCTCACTCTCCTCCTCTTTGCCCTTGTTTGGTATCCCGCCGTGGGTGTGATGTGCAAACAAAATGGCGACGATTGGCCGCGCCTACTTGTGGCTTCTTTTGCGCTCTTTAGAAACCTATGGGTGACGTCACGGACACTTCGTCCATATATTTTACAGTCTATGGTGCTACCCAAATAATAAGTCTTTGAGCCAGGTAGAGCATTAGACCAGGGGCTCATCTCCTGTTTCCAAAATGCATCACAAACTGCTTGAGGAACTGTTCTACTCTGATAATTGGTGATGAAAATAAATGATGTTCAATAAGATTTACTTGTGTTTACTCACTGTTTATTCAGTTAAACATGAATGTTAAACTGTAGCCCTGCAAAAACTGAATTCTGGAACCGTAAACAGAGATTTTTGATGACCTTAATGCTACTAAAGTCATAACTGAACTAAACAGAAATGGGATTAAGACATGTGGAGTATGCAGATATTAGTGGCATCACTAAAGTAAACACCGCCATCAGACTATTACCGTCATGTAGGACTTTTCAATATATTTTCAGCCAAGATCCACACACACGGCTGTCAGTAAAGGACCGCAAGCGCACACACACACCACGAAATGCGGAAGTTTTTTTTTTTTCTCCATACAGCGTGCGTTATTAAACTCCATAACACTCTTACCAGTCCTCACTCCTTATTTGCGTCTAATAGCCCAGTTTGTCATGGGGGCATGAATAAAATGTTAATGACTTAAAGTGAAACTGTTGAACTGCAGTTAAAGTCTGCTTGCTTTTAATGAGTCTCCTGTTTTCATCACTGCAGACTAAATCAGTAATCAGAATAAAAGAAGAAATGCCCGCATGTGTTTAGAATTTTTCCTAATCGCAAACACAACAGTAATCTGGTAGTGTTTGAGCTGCTTTAGCTTGTTTGGGATAATTATTATGATCTGCCGACAACGGAGAAATACTGAGAAATCTCTGTAAACTGATGGCAGCCGTTCAGCCTTATAATCTTATATGTGAGCAAAATCAGCG